TAAATACATTGTGTCAAGTTGATTTACACACCACTATCTGAGTAAAGAATTGATTTACAGCTTCTAATGCCCCATTGTATGTGAAACTTACGGTGAGCGGAATGACTGAAGATACTGTACACCAAAATGTATCACAAAGAAGGGATCCTTATTCCATCTCTGTAATTGCAGTAATGGTTAGAAGATATTAATGGAAGCATTTGGCGTTTAGAATTCCAGTAAATTTCTAATGCTCACCAACAAGCATGCATGCTTCTGACTGTGGCTATTTATAAAGAATCTTTGATAAATTTGGAAGACAATAAAAAATCTAGGATCTTCCCTGCCTGCTGGCTATTTACTAACAAAAAAAGTATCTATCTTGTGATTTGCTAAAGCCTGAGAAAGATCAATTTATTCAAAACATCAAACATATAGTTAACCAAAACCAATAGAAATATAACAAAAAACGGCTATTTCCACTGCCGATCATGTTCATCATGCAAATGCACAATCTCTTCATTTGAAGCCCCAACCATGCACCAGTGTCTGTATCACCTGCGTCAAGGAGGCCGTGAATGGAAGGCGTCAGTCTAGAGGCTAGGGGGCCATGTCAAAGCCTTAACCCTCCCGAGAGCTGCCGCTAAATTGACGCTTTCGGGCCCTTCTGAAAACCACACCGTGTACGGTGAGGGCAAAAACCTCAGTGTCAGTTGGGAATGGTGTATGTGCTACTTACCTTGAAATTATCAATCTACCAAAGTGGCTTGGACATCAACGATACAGTTAAACTATTCACGCCAAAGTTTTGACAACGCATAGTTGAAAATCTGAATACTTCTACCTTTTGTTTTGAATGTTCGTTCTGACAAGAGATACATGTCGAAAACTCATTGTCGAAAATTCCCTGCAACCGTAACTCAATTTTGCCTTACAAGGAGCCGATGTGAAAACTATCTGAAGATCAACCATGATGGAATGCATTTTGTTGTTGTTTTCTTCTTTCTTTGAATATTGGCGAAATATTAGTTTTAGTGGTTGCCGTTAAATTTCTCAAGGACAACATGTACCTGAAACAATATCATTGGACAGAATAATGTGACTCCGAGTTGTTTATTCAAAACTTAACAAGTGCCATTGTGCATTTTAAACCCCCCATAACAGCGGAACGCTTTTCATATTTTCAACCAAACCTCTTGCACTCGAAGGCCACTTTCATATCTGTCATTATCATTAATCGTCCAGTTGCGCCTTTATGGCAGGCCTCCAATACGAAAGTCAAAACAAAAGGCAACTGTCAACTTTTTATCTTTTTTGGTGACAACACCAAATAGCTAAATCAATTTTCTGCTGACAGCGGTCCGGGTTTCGGCCTTGATGACACTGATCGCATTACATCAGCCCAGGCCCCGGCCCGTAATCAGTAAAAACAACTAGAAGAGGCTAATCAGTCGCGAGTCGTAAATTCTCGCCTATAGTAAGGGGCGCCAGTAATTGGGTCCTGATTTAGCCGGAGCAAATCGGGCTGGGATATGGCCAGATTTACGCTGGTTTGATAAATGACTATTGGGAGGTGATGGGTGACGGTTTTGCGCAGAAAAAAAGAGGATGTTATTATATACGGCATTGAGGAAGAAACGAACTGTAACGGTGAATGGGAAAGTGAGGCTACAGCTAGCAATCACGCATGCTCCCTTATAGAATCGGCTGAATCCACTTCCCACAGACACGTGTGTTACTCCGAGCCGTAGCCAATTGATCGGACGCAGCCAAAGTCAGTTCGACATTTACAACTGCGCATGTGCACATCTAGGTTTGACGGTTTTTGTTTTTTTACATGAAAACAAAGCAGACATAATGTACATGTACATGTAGTATATATACGTCTACGGGAGGAATGATAACGAATCTGCAATTGAAATACTCGGCAAGACATGGCGCTATCTAAAGTTTTGCGAATTTTCATACTTTCATACTTCAGAACAAGCCATTTTCTTTATTTTCGTTGGTACACTCCGTAACTTTGCACGTCCAATTTTATAAAGATACCAGGCAAACAAATATTGCAGACAAAGTTGCGAAAAGTACAAGGGAACCATGCTCAAGCAGTATAAACCCCGTGGCATTTTAGTTGGTAACCTATTCCTTGCTCCATGTGCGAAGTCAGTGAATCCTTACTGACTGACTGCACTGAATATCTGACATCTTATGTAAAGAAACGGCGAATATCAGTCCGAAACATCTGATAGACTTTCCTTAAGTCTCAATTCCATGGCGCTGATGATCTTGGTCATGGAAGAGGATAGACGGAGACATAATGGAGAATTTTACCAGTTATCTTGATTGATAATCAGCCTTACTTCCAGTTGTGGTTGCAACTGACCAAATGTTGGTACCCAACGATTTCGTTTATGCAACTTCCTTTTCTTGGTGGGAGCTTATGCACGAGAACATGGATTTATATCTATTCACACAGTTTCCCTGTCCAAGAGATATACATGTAGTATTGTGTTGCTTGTGTGATTGCATTTGATTGAATCTCCCTTTTGACGTGGGATTCATGCCGCATTCGTGTCGGCAGATTTAACCCACTCTTCACGCTCGCCTGCCCAGTCACTGCTTGTTACCCGTGATGTAATATTCGCGCCTATGACATCTCGCCTTCGTGTTTTTTTTACTCCGTTAAGCAATCACATTTGACACGATCAACAGTCAAAGCGAGCATTTTTTTTCTTCACTCGCTCTTTTTCTCGCTGGTCCAATTTTTTCCCATTTAACAATTACGCCGCATGAGCGGATGCGCAGAGGAAAACATGCCTCTGTAATAGCCGGCGACCGGACGGAAGACTTTTACCACCGGGCTGCGCGATGGGTCGAGTGACTCGGGTCGTAGCTAGCTCGGTGTCATCTGCGATTGGCGCGGTCTGAGCTTCTGGAGGTAACTACTCAACTACCAGATGCAGGTCTGTCATGCGTGCACCGAGTCACCATAGTGGTAAAGAAACCTACCAATACCCAAATATTAATGAATGTGAAGTCACATGCGATACCCGAGGCATCTTTAGTAATTTTCTCCCGTGACGGCTGTGGTTTTCTGCCACAGACTGTGCCGCTCTGGTTTAGGTAGTAGCCCGGTGCTTACACCGAGCATGGCCTCAAGGCAAAAATATGCGGCAGTCGGCATTCTATAAGGCCTGAAAATGTTAGCCTTTATGTATAGCCATCCTACTGTTTTGTACCTTTGCCTAAGAATGGAACAAGTAGGCCTACTTTGTTTTATTTACTTGAGATTAATTTAGGGAATAAATGGTGTCTCTTACTGAAGATTTCTCAAAGAATAGCAGTCGCCCCACTCCAATATACCTGCCCGCACAGTCTACTGTAGCATAGATCAAGGACCTTATTGCTCATTGGTTGTAGTTTACAGTATTTAAAGGCCCATGCAATGTACATGTATTTTCTTTAGCTGTCCTTGAAAATACACCTTTGTATCCCATCTATAGCCTTATTTTCAATTATTGGTTTTTTTTTCATTTTAAAGGATATTTTGATGCCTTTTTGGTTGTTATGCTAATGCAAATTTCCATATTCATGAGCACAAGTGTGATGTCATTTCGGGCAGAATGATAAAGTTATTTCAGCACCAAAAGTTGCCAGAAGTTTGGATACTTTATTGTTGTAAATTTTCTGTTATTCGGTGATTCGTTGTTGTGTCAGCACAAGGCAGTAATCCAGTGAGCAAACTTTTCTCACAGATGTTTTCAGTGAGCAGATTTTTGGGTTCACAAATTGAACAGAAGCCCATTAATTGAACAGTGTCTTCCTGAAATGACATCACAGCAACAGCGCCCTCAGTTGTCCGGAAAAGCATGGACAATTTGAAACGTTTAAAGAAGTGCACTTTTCAATAAAATTTACCCAAAAAGGATGTCAAATAGTTTTCATACTTTGTACAGGAGTAGAAAGTTGCACAAAATATGTTCCTCGGAAAAAATTCATTTCATGAACCCTTTAAACTAAATCCTCAAATACTTGTGAACAAAATCATCATTTTGGAGATTGCTATGTAGCAGAAAAATCCTACGGAGTGAACTAATGCGCATTAAGCGGTAGTATTGAAAGGGTCGACCAAATAGGCCTAAACATGTACCTGTACAATGATCACCAAGCAGTTTCGATAACATGACTCCAGGCGGTTTATTGTAAAGTTACCTTCGACAATGCCACGCCGCTGCACCTCCGCGGTGGTACGAGTCAAGTAACCGTGTCAGTGTCTCTTTTCACCCCGGACAGTCCCCCATGGGCTTAGCCGCTCCACACCGGTCGGCTCGTTTGTGATACAGTATCATTTTTTTAATCAAAGAACAATAGGCTGTCTGCCCAGATTAGCCGACGTATTTAGCACCTGCAACGGCAACATATCATATCACTTCTTTTTTTTTTAGTACTGCGGGATTTTTAACTTCAAGAAAAAATATTTTTGGAATGTGACGGAATCTGGGAGATCGTCCGCGCTGTGCATGTGTAGAAGAAATGATTTGCAGGGTTCTTTTTCCAGACTTCATCATTTCGTCACAATAAATGTTAAGGAATTCTGCTGCGGTTGAATGATTTTTGGAGGAATGAACTGAGACTTTGCAGTTTGGTTTGAAATCAGGGTTGAAATCAGACTGGAGCATGAAAAACTTGGGGATTGCCCGAAAACATCCTCTATCAAAATAAAGAATACATGCAAGCTTGAGCCCACATCTTTGTGCTATTGGAACTGTAAGTTTTGTTTGAAATTAAAAGGTTCGTTTGGTTGGAAATCCACCCTAACCCCCCCCCCCCCAAAAAAAAAACCACCACAAACTAAACACACCAAAAACCCAGTAGGCCTAAACCCTCTCGTCTTTTTTGGAACAAGTATGTCTTAATTTTAGTAGATGATACGCTTTTCAAAATATAAATTCAACCTAATACATGTAGTCTACAAGAAAATAAAAATACAAACAAACAACAAACAACCAATGGAACAAATATTGCTTGCGAGGATCGAATACTTTATGCTCACTTTAATTTGTTCATCCATACAAAAGCTTACATTTGCACGTGTCAGAGGAAGTTTATATACAGTCTGTACAAATTATACAAATATTTACAGGAAATATTAACTGCTAGACGAAAATTCTGGCAATCAAAAATTGAAAATGAGGTGTGGGCGAATTGATTTTTTTGACAAAAGAGATATCCCGCAGGTATCCGCAACAAAAATCATGGGACCTATGTCATACGTTTGAGTAACTCATCTGTAAAAAGACGAAAGCAACATTTGGATCAGTTTTTCTTTGTCAAGTTCGTTAGGTTTGAGGCTTTGCATTGTGAGTACAACTAGGGAGAAAATGAGCAGATATATGCGAAGTGAATGCCTTTAAAACAAATAGCAGTTGTGAGAAGAACCGGTGTTGTTTAACAGTTGTCAATAGCAACTTAACATGACGCATCCATAGTCAGAGTGAGAACAAAAGAAAAGAATATAAAACACACCAATAAGAAAGGCATAGCACAACTAGATTGGTGAATGAATAGAAGATGGCACTTCCAAAGACGGGAGCCAAGATAATTTTTTTACAGATATTAAATACAACGGAGTCTGGGTACTAGGTTTTGAATAAAAACAATCTCATGCACCTTTAGAAAATGTTGGCATTTCTACTTTCATCTTTAAGGTTTTTTTTACGATTTTCTGCTGGAACGAGCTGATAGCTGGACTTTTCACGACCGACATTTTCTAAAAGGCATTCTCAGAGCATTAAATCCCATTGGTGTTGCATGTATTATAGAGAATAATGCAATATTGTTAACGGGAAGAGTTGGTTAGGAAATTGTGATTTATGATGATATCGTCTGATGAAATTCAATCTACTGGCGTCACTGACTATTATCTAGGCCTTCGGAATAGGACCACGTCCACAAATGGTCGACGCGCAGTGTTCACATTGTCCTCCAAAAGTGCAAGGAATTCACAAGACTATGGAAAATGCTTTCTGTATTTTTTTTTCATGAGAAAACACAACACAATGTGGATTTTTTTTGGACTTCGTTACTTTGGTTGTGCAAAACAAATAGAAAGATCGAACAGTGAAAACAGCCTGTAAATCTCCCCATTTGTTATATGCAAATCCTTAAAAAATCATTTTGTTGTTTTTCTAACAATCGTGCATTGAATTTTTGCGTAATTGGGAAGGAAAATGTATTCAAAACAAAATGAAGGTTAAAATACGTTCTCCGTCGGAATAATGGTTGGAAAGATGAGCTTGCTTAAAATATAACAAAATTCCCCTCGTACATGCACATATCACGTATCCGTTACCTTTATAAAACATAGGACATTGAGTGAAAAAATACACAAAGTTCACTTGAAGTTGAATAAACAGTAAGAAGAGTGTACGGCTGTCATTCAAATGAACCCATATGATATTTAAGTCATAATTGTTAAACTATTGCACCTAAAAGTTTCTTTAAAAGTTTGAGAGTTTCATAAAAACCTCTTAATTGACGGATAGAGGAAGACCATGCAATTTACTATAGACTAGTTGGTTCTGGATAGGTTGCTCAGTGTAGGTGATCTCTTTACTTATTTTGATAGATTGTAGCAGTAATTATTTGTAATAATGATCATTAATATTTTACACTTTAATTGTTCATACAATTTCTGTTTACATATGTACATAATCACAAGTAAATCACTTTTTATTAGAGTTTATAAAGTAGGCTACTTGATGCGTTCTGAGACATCAAACATGGCCAAGATGCGAGTAGAAGTGATGGGCGTGAAGAGTAGGATAAGCCGGTGAGCTGACCAGGTAAGGCATAGCCCCCGCGGCCCCGTGCAAGTACGGTAACTGTGAGCCGTACATCAGCCCCGAGTTGTAAGTAGTGTGAAGACCGACGTGGTGTGGCGGCGGCGACTGGGGGTTGTTCGTGGGGGCATTCGGGTCCATCCCCGGGTTCTGCTTCTTCCACTTGGTGCGTCGATTCTGGAACCAGATCTTGACCTGCGTCTCGGTTAAGCTGAGGGACAGAGCCAGGTTGAGCCGCTCACACACGGACAGGTACCGTGTGCTCTTAAACTTGTTCTCTAGGGCGACCAGTTGTTCGTAAGTGAACGCCGTGCGAGCTCGGCGCGGCTTGCCGGCCTTGCCCGGGTCTGAGTCCGATCGCTTACGCTTCTTGCCCGGTGAGCCGTCAGACTTGGCGTCGCTGTCGTCGCTGTCAACCTTGTCTCGATCATCGGATGCCATGTCGTCATCGTCTTCCAAGGATCCGTGCTCCTCCTCGCTGTCCATGCTCTCCCGGTATGAATCATCTTTTGCTGTCTCCCGTTCGCACATGAGATCTCCCGGAGATTGCTCTGATTCTGTGAAGATAAGAAATGTGAACCATATTTCGTTGAGATGATGTATGCCCAAATCGAACCAAATCGACTAACTTTTGGAAGTGCCTCCTTGTTCATGTACTGCCAAGTTTTATTATATTCTTTTTTCAAGAGGCGATCTTGGTTCAATCTAAGACAGCAGATGAATACAGTACAGAAATGCATTCTAAAATTTCCAAACCAAAAAAAAATTAGGAAAGTGACATTTTCCTCATCCGTTTATTTGTTTAACGATGAGAAATATTGACCCTTAAGAAAACTTATGTAAAAACCAGTTTAATCTACATTGCTGTCAAATTCTTTTCGTTATTTGGCCTAAGTTTTAAACCATTTATGTAAATCTGATGATTTAGGGTCAAAGTTATAATGGTTTCCAGGCAGTATGACAAAAATCCAATTGTAAACTTCTTTAAGTAAACAAAATTATGAAACCAACTCAACAATTGAATCGTTCCAAATTTTAACTGCTATACATAAAACTTGAGGGTGGTCCACAGATATTCTGACAGCATTTGTTCCTAGAATAGTAAAACCCCTGATTGCTTGAACAACATCCCGTTGGCGAAATGACTCCTCTTTCCAAGCCCACACAAGCCCGCTATACTAGTCACTAGAATTTTGAGTGTACACCGTAATTGTATGACAAGCAAACGATTGGTCGGATCTGAAGCGTGTGCCGCCGAGCCGGGGTTACCTGAACACACAGCCGCCCGGCGGTATGCCTTTGACGCTACCGCCGCGCTATTAGGTTGTTTTCTTTTAAACAACTTGGCTGAGTCACCGCGTGTTTTTTTTTTTTTTACAATATTATCATCGGGGATCAAAAAGGGACATAAGCATTCCAAAAATGTCACATTGCCATGATAAGTTTCTCCAGTAGCACAAATGGCTGCGATGAACTGCCAATTCATGCAAATCCGATGTAATCTTACTATAAGAAAGTGTTGGCTTCGCTGGAAGCCTGCGTTTATTCAGAGAAATCTTCAGCAAGTTGCACATTGAACTGAAGCTACTACACATCACGTAATTTCTTATTTGTTATCATAACATCTATGGTTAAATTAATTTTAGTTTAATAGGTTGGTTACTGACTGAAAATATAACTGACAATTGGGACGGAAAACAGATATGAATTCGACTTCTCACTGGGACGCTGTCATATTTTCAAAGTAAAACTGCCACTTGATGACAGATAGGCGCCCTTCAAGGAAGTTTCAAATTTCACAATACAGCGAGAAATCATGTCAACGTAGATTTTGGTAATTTGGGAGACTGTTGTGTGTTTGTGTTATTTTCATTCAATTAAAAAGGTGGAATCATAAAAAAATACTATATTGATGTGTTGAGCCGCAAATGTTGTTCAGGCAAGCCATCAGAATGATGCTTACAGATCTCATAAAATGAGCAAGAAATAGTTGTGGAATTAACCTTTTCCAAGGCAAGTTACTTTTGGTCAAACTGAAAAGCGAAAAAAAATCCTAAATCTTGACTTTTTTCCTTCGAGGCGGTCCGTCACCTCAAAATACCATGTCAACAACCCCCTGTACAGAAAGAGGATGTGTCTGAACCCAGCAACAGACCGCCTCTCTAAGGCCGAATTAGGTCGTCAGTCAACGCCTCCCAACGCGTGGAAACGCGCGCTGTGGGATTGTTGGAAGTTTCCATTTGGGCTGTAGCTCAGCCGTGACTTGTGAATCATTAGTTTGAAATCCTATCGGGCTTTATGGCGCTGAGCTTGGCACCGGAGGTTCCGTTCGGATGAGGGAATACGTGGGAGGGGGACCTTTCTTTTTAGCCATTTGGAAGGGGTAAAACCGGGTCCAATGTAAAATACATGTTCAAATTTGGAGACCAGCTCAACATTTAAGAGGAGAGTTTTTCCTGCAAAGTTTTCATTTCGCTCTCTGTCGATGCGTAAAGAGTATTTAGATTATGTCTTACAGACTTTTTGATACCAAATTCAAAGGCGCAAAATATTTAATCTCCACACGACTGAATTTTTTTTTACCATTTTGTCTTTCATTCATTCGGTTAAAATGGTTCGTCTCTATTTATAGCTGCGTCTGAATTTTCTGCCATTAAACACTGGATAACGGTTATATTCTTTTTAAGTCGAGTGACCACACTCGCGATTTTCAAGAGTGACTAAAGTAGTTTTGCAGAGAAAATTGTGCTTTAGTTAATAAATAAGCTCAATACAGAGTAAGCCAAAATATAATCTCAACAATCTTCAATTCACACTAGGAATTTGGTGAGGCAGTAACCGACTAATCTTTTCCTTTCCCAAATTTGCATATGAAAGTTTATTTTGAAATACCTTTTACTTTCAGTATGGACCAAAGTCAACCTAGTTTAAAATATTCTCTATATGGTTCGAATTACTTTGAACCTTTTGGGATACACGGCATTAATAATCGCGTTTGGAAAATGTTTTTTTTTACGCTCGCCCTTCCGTATAAACGACAATCAACCATGCAATCTACTCGGTGTTCAATCGAATCAGGTCGACTGGGGTTAACCGCGGGATCCTTTGATGCCATGCCGGCCATTTCCCCTGATGCCATTAAATCCCCAAGTGCGACAAAGTGCCAATTAAAAAGCCCCTTGCCCCTTGTCTTTTACATCCCACAAAACACCGGTTATCAGAGATGGTGATAATTGGATTTTGGAGGAACAGAAGCTCATCACGGAATGACAACGATCACCAGATGGATTCGCTTGACTGGCAAAATGTGATCGCCAGATGTCCAACATTAATACTATACATTATCATGATCCATCCGACCGGTTATTCTGAAAGCCATAATTAGCTAAAGACATACTAAAAGATCAATCAGAAATTAATAGCGTATGACGAAAACAATCTATTTGTAACAGTATTTTTTTTGGGGGGGGTGGGGGGGTGATTCTCATTTACTCTTTAGCCTTCTCTTTCCTGATGAGTAATCATGACATGATATGAGTTGAAAACGTAAACAGACACAATATTCTCATGAATTGCTAGCATCTGCATGTACGTGTATTCAACTCGTCTGTTTTACATGCATTTTGATGTTCACTACAATTATGAGGGGACATCATTTTGCATATCACACTGGTCCATCATACTCACCAGAATCAACGTTGTTTCTTCCGTTGCACAGTTGTTCCCCACCAATCCAGGACGAGGACCAGGTGTAGTCGTGCGCACTTGGCGGACATGATGTCGGTACAGCGGGGGATGCAGAGCCGGATCGCGGATGACAATGTTCCGAAGAGTCGGTGCGTTCCTCGCCACAATCGCACTGCCGGGGCGACTTGGGGACCGGCCCGTTGAATTTGTTCGGATTGAGAATATCAGCCACGGAAAACGCTGTGAGTTTAACGGGTCTATTGAGCGCTGGAGCCGGGCCCATATTCCTTCCCTGGTGCTGGTGATTTGGAGTCTGGAGATGTTGGTGTTGGTTCGGTGAGGCTGACGAGGACGAAAGTGGACGAACAATCTCGGCCTCAATGTCCGGTGAGTGGAAAGGATTCGCTGGCTTCATCTCCTCCGAGTCTGAGACAGAGTGCACACGCCCTTGATCGGCACCCATGGGTTGACTGGACGGTGTGTGGCTGATGAACAGAGCCATTTGGTCTACCTCTGTTTCATCCATCGTCCCTTGATGTGTCCGAGGGTCCAGGCAAGACGGGGTATCCGCTAACGGAGGAACAGCTTCACCAACCAGCGTCTGAATCATCGCCCTCAGATTGGAGACAACGTTTATAACACTCAGTCTCTTCAACCAATCTCTGATGATTCAATCAGTTGTTCAAATTTCAGTTCCCAGTCGACTTGGCATATGGTTTTATACAAGGGATGACAGACTTGGGATGTGCAGGAGTGGATTCTGTGACAGGCATTAGGTAAGCTCAGTTGTCTTGTACCAAACACGTTGCTGGAGTTCGACACAACGAGACTTACTGTACACGTGCAAAGGATGACCTAGTAGTATTTGGTGAATGTGAGTAGCGCCAACACAGTATGCACGGAGGCCAGCCAAATTAGATTGAGAGCCTAGCCCGCATGCGCAGTGACTCGAGGTGGGCGGAGACTTGCCAAACTCAATGGCTCGCCTCGCATAATTCGGTTTAGTCATTAGCGGCGATCGTTTTAATTGGTCGGCAAATTAAGTGGTGTCACAGGGGAGCTAGTGTTGGCTGTTGACCCCGCTCACCGCTGGCAATTAGCTGGCTAAACACCGCGCTGAAAGACCGCACCGGGTTTTACAATCGCGGACTTTTCCGCTCGATCAATTGCATTTACACAGTTGTTCGTTCCCAAAGCCAGACTTCCGCGCATTTTCCCTCTGTTGCGTTTAATCCTTACACCCTTTTCTCCCCCTAAAAATAATCGAGTCATAAATGTACATTTTTTTTCTTTCTTTGGGTTGGTTTGAGATCAAAAGGTGGATGCCGACAGGCTTATCAGGGAATTGGCAGGCAGCGTTATTGGCAGCATTTCCTCCGTGAAAGACAAGTTGCTTGTGTTTATTGTGCGGCCTTTGAAAAGAGATCTTAAAATGGAATTGGCCATCGGGGAAAAGTAGAAGTTGTGGAACGACGGAAAGACCGAGAGAGCACGATGGTGTTGGGACCGGCACTGGGTTTTTATGGGGAATGTAGCGGTGTTGTGATACGCTGCGGCGAAGCCATTAGATTTTACCACCGTATTACGAGTCAGTGGAGCGTGGGATGGGGCAAAAACACATCTCAGTTTACGATTTTCAGGTTATTTTTTTTTATTTCTTTGCATTAACACTCTGAATCGTGTAGGCGTTGGCTTAAATCTACTACTCTCCTAATGCGCACTATTAAAACATAAAGGCTCCATTCACCACGCATGGACTATCAGAATTCCCGGTAAATCGATATAATTGTTTTCAGAGCGTTTATCCAATTGACTTTCGCCTCGCTTTTAATTTCACGAAAAGCAATTATTCACAGGAGAAAGCATAATTCTTTTGATGGCATCTGCCGAGCCCGTGTTATTTTTTCCCCCAGTGGCGATCAGCAAATCACGCTAAAAGCTCCCCATTCCGGCGGTGAAGGAGCAGGACCGTGCATCGCTCCGGTGATCGCGGCCCGCGATGGCCGGCCGGACGCGAAGGATACATAAATTCATTAAATATTGAAAAAGAGGCAATTACTTTGGAATCAATGCATACGGGGAATTAAGTCAAGGCAGACAATGAGAGGGGAAACCGACCGGCTATCTACAAAGCCAATTGCCTCATGAATACTAATAAGGAAATGAGTGGACGGGGGGGGGGGAGGTGTGCGTGGTGTGTACAGGCTCAGTGAGTGTTATTACAAGGGAGGATTTGGGCTCCAGTAGCTCAGGCCGTGCAAACACACGTGTAATTGATAGTCGTAATCCTATTGAACCCGGCCCTTCTGTGCCACCATGGCACCCTGGTATAGCACCTTGTCTTCACGCACCCGCGCTGTTCAGCACACGCAAGCCAATTATAACAAGCTGATTTTCAAGGGGGGTGATAAAAAGGCATTATCCCCAGATCTGAAAACGCCAATTCGTGGACAAAACAAGCAATATTCCGTCTTAGCCATGATACCACCACATCAGAAGCCGACCTGCCGACGTCTTAAAGTCCGCAACAATTAGCCCTCGAAATTGGCCCCTTTCTTGGCTAAAGACCCCCTGAATCACCCCCCTTGGCCCTCACAGGGGTGCCGCTACATACAGTGTTTGCTCCACTTTCTCTCCCAAGTTTGGGTGTCACCAACAGCCGGACAATTACAAACGGCAACATCAGAGGAATACTAATGACCAGCCAACAATCGACCCTATTTTCCCACTTGCCGGACGCCACAAAACACTTTGCCCAGGAAACACAACAAAGCACGGTGGTTTGCGTCTTGGAAGCGCTGCCACAGAACCGAGGTGTCAATGGGGCTTCCCGGCCCAATTTTAGAGAAGAAAGGACTAATTAAATAGATCGGGCGTCCATTACAAAATGCGCGAAAACGCGCAACTCTCGGCTATTGTGACAGGCAAATCCAAAGGTGAAATCAGCCTAGCGCTTTCATAAAAGTGTTTGCTGGAGTTTTCCTAAACCCTTGTATTTTACCAGGGTGGCATTTTAGTTACACTTATAACAAGTACACACTGCAAAACTGTACGTTTTGATAAACTTGTACGAGTTTAAACTTGCATAAATCGTTGCATTGTGCGGAGGCACAGACATGGCCTTCACAGTTCCCATGCAAGGCTGTAGCCCACAAACTACCGGAAAGCATTTTCTTCAATCATTATCAGTTATCTCACACAACAATCTCATAAAAAATGCGTTTACTAATTAATAAGATTTGAGCGAATATGTGCAGGTTCCAAATTAACAACATCATTATTAAATTCTTGCCTTGGTTAAAAACATTCCGTATTGCAGAGTCAACTGTTTCTGAGTAGACCTCTGCGAATATGCCATTTCCCGACTTAAAAAAGTCATTAAGAACGAAACCAGATATCGCCAAAATCTCAATTTTCTATGTGGCGAGATATCATCCGGACTGTGTAGGCCATAGCTTTATTTTAGCCGCACCCCATCATCGGCATATCATGCACAATATGTCAGCACCAGGTTTTTTTTCAGGTGCTTACCCGGCCCTTTACGGAAACACACTACAGCAGCACACGTGGTAGTCGTTACCTATGTCTCGAGCTGCCGACAATTATCGTGGCGCGAAGCGTTAAGGCGGCGTTGGTCTTGGACCCTTCGCTCGACGAGACTCTCAGTCTCGAATATATAAAAACCAGACCTCTTTCAACTCCTGAAATAATCACCTTGGGGATTCCACGCTTGAGTTTTTAATTTGGATAATGATTTGCAAGTCATGAGACTTCCGACTTGGGAACATTAATGAGTGGTTAACAAGCCTAGCCATTCCAACTTTCTTCTTAAGTTTGGAAAGTTCCAACCCGTCAATAATAGGTTACATTTTTAACACTAACTTTTCATTGAGCTCCAAATGTATTGCAATACCATTAACTCTTTAGAATTGCCAAAAGGTACTCTCAAAATTGAAAGAAACTGTTCAGTCCTTTAATTTTATTTCACAATTCACATTGTTCAGAGTGAAATCAGGATGTTGTTTTTAAAACAAAACTGAGATGCATGTTTATACATTTGCCTATACAACTGCGAAAAATAGATTTCATGAACGACGCAGTTTTCTTACTAGAGGATTTTTAAGATTTGGCCAAAGGCAATTTTGAAGTCCTTAGATTTTTATAAATCAATTTGAATTATGTAAAAACTCATGATTTTAACTGTCTGTCAACTGAATGGGATGAGTGGTTGTCGCTACATGCAAGACTTTGATTTTGTGATTTTAAATTTTCAGCAGAAGCGCCCGTTTACTCTTTAGCCTGGATCTATAAAAATAGTGAAATTTTGCTTCAGTCAAACCAGACGACGGCAAGCTGATTATATGTTTCAGACGAAAAACACATTTTGTTTTGGAAATACAGACAAGAACTCAAGTTCCAAGTTTTCAAATGGAATGAATACTTATTTTTTTGGTGACAGTCATGTGATTTTCATCTTACTTCCTCGGTCTAGTTTTCTATCCACATTCTGGTCAGTGACGTTCAGTGCTCTAAAATCTGACGTTCCCGTCTTTCCATCTTTACAGGAATATGTTTTTACAGAGTCAGATTCTGCCAGATATTTATGCTTCAAGATGACAACATTTAATTGCAACACATCGTTGGCTTTGTAGACATAACATCAGGGATCAGCGTGTAATGTTATTACACTGTCCACTTCTGCGGAATGACAGCTTTTCATTTTCTCCCCTTTCCCACCAATCTTAATTTTGAGGACCGGATATTTCCCTCAGCTTCGGTCATTGACTGCAGACTGCTGACTTATTATCCATTTTTAGTTTACCGACATGCTGATAATGCACTCATGTGAAGATGCACATGCGCCTTAGGAGACTTTCTCGTTTCAAAAAATCTAAATAAACGCTTTAAAGTTTCACAGCCTCGACGGCAAATAATCTCGCCATTGCTGCTTGTATATTTCTCTATAGCATTACACCATTTTCTCAATCGTTAGAACGATAATGCTTGGAATACGTGTCTTGTCCGAGAGTAAATTCATCCCGGTGTAATATGAGCACGCTTTGACTCGCCAACAGCTAATTCGCACCAAGATTGCATTTCAATCAGTATCACTCGACGACATATCACCATTCCCAGATCATTAGCGGGTTCTTATTTGCCCAATTACCCACAGTCAACCTCGTGGTAGTCGGGCCGACAGCCGAAGGTCACTGGATGTGTAAATGAGACCAGTTGCAGACCAGTCGTGTCCAGACTACGATGACCTTAAATAAGGTTAAAGTGTACTCGTCAACAAATTCGATTTCTGAATAATTTTAATCATGTCAAGATTTTACATGCAGTGCTGAGCGTACGATCACTCTCTAAATTCCAAAGAGTGAAAATTCACTCCATTCGAGTGGAGATTCACTCCCACAGTCGGAAACTAGGGACTAGACGTTTTAGAGTGAAATTCCTTCAATCGTAAAGATCGACTTCGACTGAAGTGGTTCTTTTTCAGACTATTCCAATCGAAAATGAGAGTGATTTTCATTCTAAAACGTCTAGTCCCTAATTTCACTGATTGGAATTTAGAGAGCAATTCTTCTTTCAACATCATCTTCTAGTGCTGGCTGAAATATTATTTCGTATTCTTCGAGGCTTCCAGACCGTGTTCTAAATCAGCGATCTTAAAACCACGGTCATGCTTGGACCATCTCTCTAGCGTTTGACAAACCGAGAAATTTGATCTCTCAATCGCACTGCCCAACCAACACACGAACAAGCCAGGTGGATGGCGGAATAAACACCGCCTAGATCTCATTAGTACGAAAGCCCTGAAGTGCCATCAAGTATATATTTCGCCAAGTTCGTTTTTATGAGTTATATATTTCGCCAAGTTCGTTTTTATGAGTTATATATTTCGCCAAGTTCGTTTTTATGAGTTATATATTTCGCCAAGTTCGTTTTTATGAGATACATTTTGTCGAAGTTCGTTTTTATGAGATACATTTTGTCGAAGTTCGTTTTTATGAGTTACATTTTCTAGAAGTTCGTTTTTATGAGTTACATTTTCTCGAAGTTCGTTTTTATGAGATACATTTTGTCGAAGTTCGTTTTTATGAGATATATTTTACGGAGTTACGGAGTTTTCATGAAGTTACGGAGCCCCTAAAGGGACATCCAAAATTATTTTCTTATCTCGTGCGCACGACATAATATCTCGTGCGCACGAGATAATTATCACAGGCGCACGACATATATG